CGGCACTGGATGGGGTAATGTCGTCAGCATTACGCCAGCCGTCTTTACTTCCCCAGGACAGCCCATCCTGGTACCCATTTTAGGCTAGGTCACCTGCGTCGTCCTTACCATGATAAAAATCCACGCAGCCAGTAGTGGGTTTCGATCGCGGTACGTCGGATTACGAGTCGGACTCGCAACGCCGTGGCCACGGACGCCAGTTTATAGATAGACAACAGATTAAACAGCCTGGTCTTGTAACAACACTGGCAACAGAGAAGGCACGACGGACAGCAATGTTACACAGATACAACCGTAACAGAGCCAGATGTTGATCACCTAAAAGATAAACTACGGAAATATCAGAAACGCTTTAAAAAAAAAAGTACTGTGTATGAAGCGAACAGAAGGATCCGTTGCAGCGATCTCTTCCTGTCCTGACACGGCGACACATTCATGGGGTAGAGACAAGAAGAAGAAAATGGTCGCTTTTCATGGCAATTTGGACAATAAATAAACAAGCCAACTATTTTCTTGAGGCCTGAAAGACGTGTTTTTACGGATCAATCCTTCGAATACCAGGTACAGCTCCAAGACAATTTGACATAAACGTCAGGAGTAGACAGTTGTCATTTTTGGTTTATGTTATGGGAAGAAGGAAATTGGAAAACATTGTTACCACTGGAGCGATTTGTGGGGGGTAAGACAGGAAATCAACGTGAGACGATTCTTGACAGCCTTCTGTCGGGCCATGGAGTGGTGTCAGCAAACGAGCTGATGCATGTTGTTGAAGATCGCATATTGTGAGGAGGTATGATCGCTCAAGCCACCTATAAGGCACTTGATGATGATGATGATGATGGTGAGTCAATTTTACGTTCAATAGTTTGCAAAGTTTCCTGGGTTGTTGCCGTTTCAGACCGTTGCCAAATCAACATAGAGCGGTCTTGTGTTAACAAGAAGATGTTTCATGTCCTGTGACAGGAGAGTTATGAAGAATGTTAATGATAAACACTTCAGCTATGCGATGATGTTTGGCCCTTGCGATTGACAAAGCGTCGGCGCCATGTTTATTTTTTATAGTGACATCTGCTCCGTGATTGTATAAGCATTGCATGGCGGCGAGGTTCCCCAGTTCCGCTGCCATCATAAATGACGTCATCCCTGCCTCGTTCTGAGCGTTGACGTGGGCACCTCGCTGACACAGGAGCTCTATTAAAGGCACATTGGAATTCTCCACTGCGATCATCAAGGCACTGCATCCAGTGTGGTCAGCTATGTTGAGGTCCGCTCCCTTGTCTGCCAGCAACTCCACGATGTAGCTCTGGCCGGCCAGAGTCGCGATCATCAGAGAAGTGAAGCCTTTCTTGTCCACGGCATTGATGTTGCTGTTGGCTTCCAGAAAATACTGGACTAAATCAGCGTGACCATTGTGAGCTGCCGTCATGAGAGAGTTCCAGCCCAGTTTGAGTGTCGCGCCCTCGCTGATGCCTTTTTGGCGAAGATACTTCACAATCGGCAGGTGCCCGTTTATTGAGGCTAGTAAAATTGCGTTTAGACCGTTTCTGTCGACGATCGAGAGATCAGCCCCAGCCTCACAGAGGTACTCGACGGTTTCAAGATGCCCGTTCAACGATGCTAGCATGAGGGCGTTGAGTCCAGCGTTGCCCACGTGTCGTAGGGAAACTCCGTTCTCCTTCAGATAGCGGACTGTCTCTGTGTGTCCATTCATGGCGGCAATCATGAGGGCATCTCTGCCGTCTTTGTTAACCGCCTTTATATTGGCGCCATGTGCACGCAAAAAGTGCACGATATCGACGTGTCCGCTTTGAGCAGCCAGCATGACAGCAGTCCAGCCACCGAATTTTTCTACAGTATTCACTTTAGCTCCATACTCATGCAAAATCTGCACAACTCCAATGTGGCCGTTACTGGCAGCAGTCATGATAGGAGTCCATCCATGCTCCACCATCGCATTCACGTCACTTCCTGTCTCAATAAAATACCTGACGACTTCAGTGTGTCCATTCTCAACAGCGACAAAAAGAGGGTTCCACTCCGAGTGACCTGGAATTGCCGAGGCGCCTTTCTCACGTAAATACTGCAGTGTCCTTAAATGTCCGTTTTGTGTAGCTATCATGAACGCATTCCATCCGTCTAGCTGTACTGCGTTAATGTCCGCCCCATTCTCACACAGATACTGAACAACCTCAGTGTGTCCTTTATCAGCGGCGATCATCAGAGCTGTCCACTGGCTCGCGTCTCTGGTGTGAATATCAGTTCCGCACCTGTGTAGGTATTCTACAACTGCTAGATGGCCGTTTTGGGCGGCCATCATCAGCGCGTTGCACTTATCTTTCTGCACTGTGTTGATATCCAAGCCGCAACCATGGAGGTATTTCACCACGTCGAGATGACCGGAACCAGCCGCCAACATCAAAGCGTTACACGACTGTGCTTGGACGATGTTGATATCAGCTCCTGCCTGATGTAAATACTCTACAACCTGGTAAATGTCCATTCTGTGCAGCCAGCAATAGAGCGGTCATTCCACTTTTCTGCACGGCGTTGATGTTGGCTCCTTTCGACATCAAATACTCCACAATAGGCATGTGTCCCTTCTGCGCCGCGAACATCAGGGATGTAAACTTGTCATCCTGGGCTGCGTTGACATCTGCCCCCTTATCGACGAGCAGACTGACGATCTTCAAATGTCCGTTTGTTGCCGCAAACATAAGACTGGTATAACCTGTTGTTTCCGCAGCGTTAATCATTTCTCTGGTGTATATTTCACACAGAAGCTCCACGACCTCCAAGTGACCGTAAAACGCAGCGATCATCAGAGCATTCCAGCCGTTAGAAGTTGCCTCTGTGACGTGACTTCCGTTCTCTTTCAGAAAGCGTACAATATCGGCGTGACCATGACGGGAAGCCATCATTACGGAATTCAGCCCCTCGCATGTCATGGCATTCACATCGGCTCCGTATTCGGCTAGCAGTCTGACAATGTTGATATTTCCGGTACTAGACGCCTTCATCAGGGCCGTCTCTCCAAACTCATCCGTGGTGTTGATGATGCTTCTATCGCAGGCATTCAAAAGATTCTTGACAATATCTACGTGCTCTTTTTCGGCGGCTAATAGCAATAAATTCTGCGAACTGACGCTGTCAGCACCGGTCAAGGTCACGGACACATGTCGGCTGTCGGGATCCTCTCTAGTCTCTAATGGGGCTTCGCTGGGTGGAGCTGTAAAAGTGACGACTTCCAACTCTTGCTCCAGTGTTGACTCCGTTGTGTTTCTGATCATCTGATCCCCCACGCTGATCTCCATTATTGTAACAAGATGCTAGACTAGCTGAAAATCATTTGTGTTTCTTCATACGCAGAAAACTGAAATCGTCACAAAATGTGGGCCTGCGTGTTAGCTGGACCAGTACTCTGTGTGTTGACTTTCTTTAAACTTCTTGTGTTGTTTGTCTAGATAATAATCATCAAGACGATACAGAAGCCTCGTATTCTGTTTTCATTATGTTTTAGTCGATGATATCATTCAAAGTTTAAAAAAAAAAAAACGAATATCCAAACAATCCCTCGGAACACAGAAAAATCGACTCTTCAATAGATCTGTAAGTAGGTTGCTACGAATCCAGCTATCATGAAAGTACCTACTAGTTGGTCCTCCAACAGCTCGCTTTCCCCAATAGTTGTTTAGATCAGGCTGATTTCGGGCCACGGTCTTCACAAGCAGGTAGTAGTAATATCGACAATATTTCAATAAATCTATGTTTCAGTTGCGCAGGTACAAATGTCGTCTTTTGCTGCGATACACATCTGTTTGTAGATTAACAGATCATTCATTTGCTTATATACATGTGCCATCTTGTTGTTTAGTTACATAATACAACCCTTTTTCTTGAATACACAAACTGATAGCTTGGACATGCATACCTCTTAGTTCCTTATATGGACGTGAATTTTCTTTTTCTTTTTAGACATACATGCTGTCGATATGTTTAGATAAACATACTATTAAGTTACTTCAGAACACATAGCATCTAGTTCCTTTGATATGCGTAACATTTAACTGTCTGGTGAGCATACAGTCTATATGTTCAGATACACATACCATCTAGTTGCTTAAGTACACACACCATATAACTGACTGGACCTACAAACTGTCTAGCTGCTTGAATACCAGTAGAAGGTCACATATTTCTTTGACGATGAACTAAGCGTGAAGTAGGCCTATCGCTTGGTAGTTGTTGGCGGCGTTGAGTTCTACTAGCACTTCAACTGTTTTTGTACGAATTGACGAAACAAATATCTTAATATCTTCCTGAAAAGGTCACATGAACAATGTTACTTCAAACACCTTCTCTTGCTTATGACTGTAGACACGAGGGTCAACCAGCAGATTATGCATTGAACGTTATGTCTCTAGAAAAAAACGACAGGTAAAGATAATTATACACGTTGTTAATAAAATTACTACTACTGTTATCGACACGACATTCACGTTCTTCTTCTTCCTGTTGTTGTTATAACTTCGCGGGCTGGAAAATCCTGTGGACTTTATTCTTGTCCCAGAACGTGAGTTTTGCAAACACGTATCTGGTGTCTATGTTTGTGTAATATTGTTGCCTCGCCACTCAGGCGCCACACCCTCTACGGTTTTAAAGGAAAACACCCCTAATTAGTCGCCTCATACAAATTTTTCTGGGGGTGGGAGTGTGGGGTGTGAGGGAGGACTGAGTATATTTTTTCGCCCCTAAGAATGGGACCCTGTTACGCCCATTGGAAAGCTACAGAAGGCGATTATTATACTACGCAACTGACAATACAACAGCCGTTAAAAGCCTTAACAAAATATTGAGCTCCAAGTTATACAGCTTTAAGACCTTAACCACGAATCTTCAGTTCTAATGTTATTTCATTTCTTACATATCCCAGCGAAAATTTGAGAATCACCAAAGATATGTGACGGAAATGTAAATGCAATTGGAAAAAAAACATGTTTGAGAAAGATCATCAACACAAAATGTAAGTGAATTCAAAAAGAATGAGGGGATGAGAGAAATGTCTGGACAAATATCTGTATCAACTGCAATAAGACTAAAAAGGTGGAGATATATTGGGCCCACTTCGAGACAAAAAAGCAAAGAATTACAAAACAAGCACTGAAAGGCGAAACAAACGGTCTGAGAAAAAAAGGACGTCAAACCGAAACATAAAGCAGAACGTTATTAAGAAAGGTAAAAATGCTGGGCTGAACTTCATGTCAGAAATCGAGAACGTTGCATGCAAGAGAGCGGACTCAAGGAAAGGAGTGCGAGCCATATGTGACGTATAACGGCACGAAAGGTAGATGATGATGATTACCGCACAGTGCAGCGAGTGTTTTGACGTGCACGATAGAAGGTCAAGACTGGAACCCAGACATGAATGATTCTTTTGCTGTCATTGTCAACACAACCCTCTACAGCAGCGGTTCTCACCCTGTGTGTCTCGACCCCGGTTCTCAACATGTGTGTCACGACCTCGGTTCTCAACCTGTGTGTCTCGACCCCGGTTCTCAACCTGTGTTTCTCGACCCCAGTTCTCAACCTGTGTGTCTCGACCCCAGTTCTCAACCTGTGTGTCGCGACCCCAGTTCTCAACCTGTGTGTCTCGACCCCAGGTCTCAACCTGTGTGTCTCGACCCCAGTTCTCAACCTGTGTGTCTCGACCCCAGTTCTCAACCTGTGTGTCGCGACCCCGGTTCTCAACTTGTGTGTCTCGACCCCGGTTCTCAACCTGTGTATCTCGACCCCGGTTCTCAACCTGTGTGTCGCGACTCCGGTTCTCAACTTGTGTGTCTCGACCCCGGTTCTCAACCTGTGTGTCTCGACCCCGGTTCTCAACCTGTGTGTCTCGACCCCAGTTCCCAACCTGTGTGTCTTGACCCCGGTTCTCAACCTGTGTGTCGTGACCATTTTGTGTGTATGTGTGTGTGGGTGGAACTACCCTGTCACATAAGTCGCCGAAGATCATAGCAAAAGGCAGGTAGGTAATTGTACTCCACCAGGACATCACGCAAGCGATAAACTCCCGGTTACACAAAGTGGCACCATGCGGATGACGCTCACCCGTGGAGACGTCGCAGAAACCCCTTTTAGCCGGTAGGCCATATCTATGGCTAGGCCATATCTATGCCCAGGCTAAATTCAGGGCCCCCGGCAGAAGCCAGGGTGAGGCTTCAAAATAAAAAAAATTGCATCCCACGACTGGAACGGGGGGGGGGGAGGGGGCGAATTGGATTAAACCATATCAAAACATATTTCTTTGAAATTATGAAGTAGCAACGAAAGTAATTGTATTGTTAGAGGTCGCCACAACATGAGAAACGGTTATAAAGGGTCGCAGCGTTAGGAAAGCTGAAAACTGCTGTTCTGCAGAGATTAATCTGTGCATCCTGGCTAGACATGGAGATAGATAATCTTTGATATAGTCATTACCGCGTGAGCCGGGTATAGCGGATTCAGGATGGGCGGAAAGGGGTGGGGGGGGGGGGTTTAACCCTATAACAGTTTTTCCATGAACATATTATATTATAGCTGAAGAAACACAGCACATAAGTAAAAATGAACCCGAGTGCTGTAATGTCAAGTCAGAATACTCAAAATGCACATACACAATCATTTAAAAAAATAGGAACACCTAAAGTAATGAGAATTCATTAAGCTCAAATTCAGTCTTTCCACAAAAACATCGCGTGGACACTCAACAGGAAGTTGGAAAATCAAACAGAGACGTCAGGACGGGAACGTGAGAAGACGTGTGTCGTTTCTGGGAAACAAACTCAACCAAACAAATTGAAAATTCTAGATAAGTTTAGAATGATTATAAAGTTCTCAGAAAAAATAATATATGTTCGTCATGTTACAAGATACCGCATTCTTATTCCTCACTCACCAGGTTCTTTGTAGAACGTCGCTCTCCTCCCGGCGAGACTGAAAGTCTCTCTTTGGCTAGCCAAATCTCCAGCCCTATGTGCATTCATAGCTAATGCATTTCAATGTCTTGTATTCGTTCTCTTAGGGTCTGCCTCTGTCTTGTTATCCTGAAGCTGTACACTCCATCGTCGTTGTCTCCAGGTCACTATAGCGTTTGAATGTTGAACGTTGAATTAGGAATCGACATCACAGCACTCGGGACTCTCCCATAAGCGCCCCGTTCCCATCTTCAGCAGCAAGCGCAGCGTTAAAATTTCGATGGTACCAGTAACAGTCGGATTGTATATACGTGTCGTCCCTTCCCCGAGTTTCGAGCGTAGGCCAGATCCCATTGTAACTCCTCGCAGGGCCATTCTCCTCAGACAGTAATGATCTATCTGTTTCTCCGCACTGTTCACTCGCTCACGAAGGGCCCTCACAACATCCAGCTTATCATATATCAGTTCACCACCAAGTGGTGCAGAACCGGCCAGTCTATCCGCCTGCTCATTTCACAACACACCGGCGTGACATGGAGAAAATATCCAA